TCTCATGTTAAAAATAAAGTCATTGGTAATCAGGCTCGCGGGCCGGATCCGGCCCACGGGCCGTAGGATGCCGACCTTGACCTAGATGAAAGTTCTTTTGCTATTGTTTTGTTCTTTCATTTTATTTGTTTTTGCTTTTTTTTATAAAATTTCTAGCTTGCTTTGTTGAAATTTTTACGTTTTATTTTCATCTTTTCTTTGTCTTTGTTAAGTTTATATGGTTTTACTTGGTCAAATACTCCTAAAAACTCAGCATATTTAGAAAAAAAGACAATTTGAAATAAATTCCCGTGTGATCTGATCTTCAATCTACTAGGTAAATCAAGTCTTTGTGCCCGTGCGCCATGACATTGATATTTGAGCCGAATGAAAAAAGCAGTAAACCTGAAGTTGAAGACAGGCAGCTAACTTCCGGCTTCACCGTGTAGTGGATACATTAATGTACTTGTAAAAGATATATATTCAAGGCACGGCAGCCTGTGCAAGGCACCGTTGAAGGTGGACGTAGGAGAGGGCGCCAACGTAAAAACTGGTTGGATGATGATGGTGATGATGATATATATATACATGTATCTATGTTTGTCTGTCAAGTTGTTCATTTCAGTCTTCGTTTTTATCACACACACACACACACACACACACACAACACACACACACACACACACATATATATATATATATATTTGGTTGGATAGATGTGAGTTTGTGACCCTGGGTTTCACGCTGACGATCGCTAAAGCGTGAAACCCAGGGTCACAAAACTCACATCTATCCAACCAAATATGTTAGCTCTATCTCTGATATTGAGCGCTTTCTAATAAGTACCGCGCATATAATATATAAATAATTATACATACATATATTTATTTATATTTATATACCTTTTCACACACACACACACACACACACACACACACACACACACACACACACACACACATATATATATATATATATATATATATATATATATATATATATATATATATATATATATATATATATACAGAGCAGAATAGAAAAGTTCAGAGCAGATAACATTAGAAAGATTTTAGAGTCCCATAAAAATAAGTGGATACAACGTCTTAAAACACAATATTCAGCCGGGCTAAACCATAAATTTAACAATATAGATAGTATTAATATATAACCCTACAAATCAAAACCTACCCACATTTCTCACCCACACAAGACAGACATGCTTACGGAGGTGTTGAGGCCTCACACTTATACACACACCCACACAAATATACACACTTACACACATCATACTCACTCACTCCCTAATGAGCCAAATGATAACACACACCCACAGCAGTACATACGCTTACACATATCATACTCACTCATTCCCTAAGAACCAAATAACACACACACACACACACACACACACTAAACAGAGACACATCTCAGGACCAATAAATCTGTCAAACTGACCACGTGAATTCAGAGAAGTATAAATCCATCCAGCTCTTATCTCAAATAACAACTTAAAAGAGACTGTTTGACCAACACAAGGAATGTAAAAAGATTCATGTTAAAAAGATAAAAGATAAGTTATTCCAAAATTCGCTTGAAGATGAAACAGGACTTATGCTTTAAATTTTAACTTAATTTAATTATTATATAATTAAATTTGAAGTTTTTAGCTTCATTTTTGAAACATGGTTATTACTGTGTAGCGAAGAAACCATATTTTAAATCAGTTAATTTATAATACTTATGCTCTGTAAATTTACATTGAGTACTGTTTTTTAAATATAAAAATTAAAAAATATCAATAACACCGGATTATATATCTTACTGTTCTTTTTTATATATATATATATATATATATATATATATATATGCAGCAAAACCTCGATTTAACAGTGTCGGAAGTAAAAGACTACAGATTTAACTGTAAAACATTTCAAACTTTATTTAAATATTTAATAACTTAAAAATAAAATAGACATACATATATACTGTATTTACATTTATTTACAATAATTTTGTTCTGTACTGGGTGTTTATAGGCCACGAAAGAAAAGTTCTTCAAATTAACGGACAAATGGCTTTAACGGGCTATCCCCTTTTTTAGACCGTTAAATTGAGCTTCCACTATATATATATATATATATATATATATATATATATATATATATATATATATATCTGTCTATATTTTGTGAGATGAGGATGATTGCAACTATTTACAGTATTTACATTGTTCGGACTGTTGTCCTCATCTTTATTGCAATTTTCAGGACGTTTCGTCCGTTATACACGTTTGCCTTCTTCAGACGAATTTCAAACCGCGCTTTTTATTCAGTCCACGGGTATAAAAGCGTTGGACGATTGGACCAGAAGGGACTAGTTCCAAACAGTTGTGTGTTCAATCCCTGGCTACAGCAAAGAGAACCAACAACTTGGAGGGATATAAAAGGGAATAAACTAAAACTGAGATATCCAAAGGCATGACACGTGGAATTAGACCAATCTACAATTTAATACGTATATATGTGTGTGCATGTGTTTGTGTGTACATACATGCAAATATGGCATTATATATATATATATATATATATATATATATATATATATATATATATATATATATATATGAACAATATTAATTATTTACCGGCTTGAATGTTCGAGAAATTTCGTAGAAAATATGCATTCTTGAATTTCTCGAACATTCAGGCCAGGAAATGTAATGTATACTGTTTAATTGTAATAAAGCGCATTTACTTAAATAAATTATATCTATTAAAGTATAAACAGAAAATATATTAAATAATTGTCGAAATATATATATATATATATATATATGCATGCTCACTAACTGGATGTATAGTGTTGTTCGAAACTAAAATAACCGCTTCAATGATCATTTAATTATTTCTGAATTATATTTCTTTCTGACAATCCATTCACTTACGGGCAAATATTCTTGGGATTATTATTACTCCATCTTCCCCTTAGATATAAGTTAAATAGTAGATCTTGTATTTGGAAAAATTCTTGTTGTCATGAAACAATTGTTAATGTAAAAAGTATAATTATTCTTACAGTTCAAAATAAGTTTCAAAGAAAGGAGTTGATAAAGCATAAAAAATCTCAATCCCTCAAATCTGATAATACTTATAAAAATTGAAATTCGCAATTGAAAAGAATTCGTTACTCGAGTCTAATCATAAACAATTTTCGCCATTTTGGATGTTTTTTTTCCAGTTCCTTTTTCACGCATTTTCATTTTTTTTCTATGCATGGACGAGATCGATTTAAAAGTTCATATTATCCATTCATTATTCTGTTTGTGTTTTTAAGAGTCATTGTCCTGACCGAATTATGTCTTTATTTAGATACTTATTAAAATTTATTTTGAAGGGATCAAACATAGTGTTTTAATTAAAAAGCCTAAAAAGGATGACACATTTTCTTCATATCACTTCCCACAATTTATTTCGTCCTTCATTTAACGTTAGACGAAGAAGAAATTTAATAGAGTAGACACTATCTACAGATAGGTAATTGCTGCAGATGATGTACAGGTGGTGTAATTGTTGCCGGGTTCGAATACCGGTCGGGTTCGTCACATTCACTTTCACATAATTCAATCTTTTTACCCTCAATCCATGGGATTTGCCTAGCTATTTAGCTAGGCAAATCGGGTTAGCTAGCTTCAATAAATTCAACTCTGAATACAAAACCGTGTAACCGCAGCCGAGCACCTAATACGCATCTACTGAAATTTAAATAAGTCAGTCAGGTATGTGCCATGCGTGATACACACTTAGGCGATCATGGATCTTTCGATACATGACGGACGAGGCAGATTTTTTCCCGCAGTAGGTTGCCATTTCTTTCTGCGGTAGACCAGTTGCCATCCAAGTCTATAGAACACGATCTTTCCTGCTATTTACCCATAGCTGGTGGGGGAGAAATGAATTCCTACCTTTCCCAAGGGTATTAGCACGTAAGTGAATGTAATGGATTCGACTGGAATTCGAACTCGGCTCTCCGATTCCTCAATCCGAGACCTTTCACAATTGACTGTGGCCCAACTAATCATAGAATTGTCGACTCTATTATCTCGGTCGATGACATAGGTAATAAATTTTCAGTCACAGTTTTGTCATGGATCATAGCAGACAAGATATGATTTTTTTTTCTTATTAAGTGGAGAACCTTCATCGTTTCACATAAAGGAAACGATTGCGCTACTCTTAGACTTTGTGACAATAATAAACCGCGTATAACTGAAATCGCGTTAAGTGTAACAGTAGATCTAGGATGATTGCATTTTCTTTTCTTCTGTGTGCCGTGCCCCTTCAGTTCACGGGCGATCATAGCTCTCCACGATTTCCTTTTATTCGTAACTCTTCGTAAACTTTGTCTTTTTGTTATCTCTCCTAATCCCTGTTCTGCTAACCATTTAGACAAGCTTGTTATATATGCTATACGCTGCTTTCCTTTGTCTCTCTTGCCTTCAATACGTCCTGTGAGTGTCAAAATTTCCAAGCCAGCTTTCCTCATTATGCAACCTAGAAATTTCAACTGTCTTTTTCTGATGCTAAGTATAAATGTCCTTTTTGTTTCCATTTTTCTTAAAACGTCGTCATGGTTCAGATGTTCAGTTAATAGCATTCTCAGTATCCTTCTGTAGAACCACATTTCTCTTGTATCAAGTTTCTTCTTCGTCTGTTAGGAGATTGTAATCAGCAGAAATTTCTCTGTCGCAAAATGAGGAAAGGGGGTCTGGCGAATTTAACACTCACAGTACATAGTGAAGGAAAATCAAGCAAGGGGTGCACGGTGTGTAACCTACATAGCCAGTCTATGTGAATAAATGGCAGAACAACAAAGGGCAATGGTAGAGAGTCAAAAGTTTCTTAGATCGACAAAAGACATGAAGTCGTGGAAGGAGATTATCGCCTATGACCCGAAGAAACATGATGTTGTTGATGCGATGAGAATGTCGGCATTCCATATATGGAAAACAGATCACTTACCAATATTAACAATTTTGATTTTATCTTCCATGATAGCCCGGAAGACAAGGTCTACGTTTTGCAACATCTGAATCTGATTCTGGGGTTTCATGAAGATTTTGCCAATCCGACGGAATTGCAGGGATTCCACCAAACGGGCCAGAATGACCCCATCTCGTAAATCCTCCTGAAGATCGGTGACACGCAAGCTGTCAGTCGACAACTGTTCATTTATCCAATTGGTGAATGTGTTTTGTTGGACGTGAATCCAAGTATTTCCAGTGGATCTTGATTTCATCTTTGTCCCGCACAGATAACGGCCGATTAGAAGATTCAAACTGTGGTCACTAAAAAAGAAAAAGAGATTTAATTGAATAAAAAACACATTTTTAAATTAGTTTTTCCGCTATTTTGTTGCTTAATCTAAGAAGAAATGGGTTTGTCTCTGGATTTCTGACCATTGTTCTCGTGAATAGGACGACAGATTTCAAGATTCAAAATTTAATAAACACATATTAAGCATAGTTTAGTCTGGCACAAAAGCAAACAACGAAAGGGGACAATAAAAAGGAGACAACAAAAGGTAGACTGGTACGAACTTAGACTCAAAATATCACTGAATCAGGTAAGTGGGTAGATGTGTTTAACAAAGGCATTTGTGCAAATGAATTTAACTACAGCAAATATACTAAAATAGTGTGAAACTTATATAATTTAATTCTTTATTTATTTTATTTCTCGTATTTTCCACTATATGAGGCATAATATAAAATAAAGAATAAAAAATTACCCCTACTTTGATCGTTTGGATACCAGTATAAGACACACATTCAAACGCCTGCTTGGTATTCTAATTTCTTAGATGGCCTCAGAATGCAATACAGAAGATTATAAAATATTAAGTTATGATATAAAATGAATATATATATATATATATATATATATATATATATATATATATATATATATATATATATATATATATATATATATATATGTGTGTGTGTGTGTGTATTATGGACACCCAAATAGAAAGGAAAGAGGAGGTATTATCACTATCTCGAGTACTTCTCTTTGATAAACCAGCGGTCTTTTAAGCGGCGTCCGCTTTTACCTAAGGGGAATGGGAAGTAAAGAGATTCTTGAAGATCAAGTGGCAACAAAAACGGAAATAAGGTATATCCAGGTGCTGGTCTAACTTAAGAATTATGCTTAGAATCGGGAAAGTTCTGATCTGCCCCTGAATGGAGACGGACGTGCCCGTGTCGCGGTTTCGATGCATCTATCACGTATTTCTAGTCAAATCGTCAGGAGGAGTGGATGTGCTAGAAGTTGGTAACGGGAAGAGTTGACATAGCAGAAATTGTTGCAACTATCATCTACCTAGCTAACCAGCCAGATGAACAGGCGAAGTCCTGAAGAAAGAAAAAAACTACATATAATATGGGAAATAGACTTCGCGTCTTGAAGCATACGTTTGTCTAGTCGCCCTGAGGACATAATTTAGCTCTTGAAAATATATTTTCAATTGAGCACTCTTGAATGACAAGCTAATTCTAAAAACAACGGTCACCTGCGTAAAAATCCGAAGCTCTTCAGTAAAATGCATGGAGCACTTTGGCTGCTTGGCGTTTGTTTACGTTTGTAAAAACAATACGCTATATTTGGCTGGCTTTTTCTGTCAAGTGAAGATGGCTCAGTGGTACAAGCTCTCACTGATACCAAATCGGTTGGGTTTCAATCCGTGCTTGAGGCATTCTTTTTCTCTAGTCGCACTGAGGAGCTGTGATACAGCTAAACAGTACTGTCTGCGAATGACATAACTTATCTCTTGAAAATATATTTTCAATTGAGCTAAGTTATTCAATTGACAAGCTAATTCTAAAAACACAACAGTATATTTTATTCTTCATTGCACATGGCTATGGGATACACTCTCAAGCTTAGATTACAATGAACAACACCTCATACTCAATATATATATATATACTAAAAATGGGAGAGAAAATTTAAGTTAAAACTTATCTGTTGATTTTAATAAGACGATTTTGAATCATTTCTTATTGCTTCAGTATACGTTAAATATACATATTAAGAAAGCATTGTTCAGTTCGCATATTTACTATTCGTAAAAGAGGTTTTGTGTGCGTAGTAAATATACATAGGAGAAACTTGAAGACCTCAAGATTTACCTTTTCAAAGCATTTGATGTAGAGCTTTGCGTTGGGTCTGAGGCCCTTTGTGGAAATACGCTAGATTTAGCTGACTCATTCTGTCGAGTGAACATAGCTCAGTGGTAGAAATTTGGGTTTCATTCCTGGCTTGAGGCATTCAGGTGTCTAGTCGCACTGAAGAGCTGCGAATGACATATATATATATATATATATATATATATATATATATATATATATATATATATATATATTCTCGCGTCTTGAGCCAATGCACGAGTATTCTATCGACACATTACCCATGAGTCCTTTTGTGAGAGTAGAGTCCAATTTCACGCCCTATTGCAGATGCTGCATTGATACAGTCGGTTCTGAGTGCTGTTTGTCTCCCTCTTGGCGTTTCTCAATGATGAGACTGGTACGCCTGTCCTCAAAGACATTGATGACCTCTTTGCAATGTGTCCTCCAGGTTACACAGGCTTAGGCGGTATTTTCACAGCTATCAGGGACGATTCCACATCTCTTGAGATTGTATTTTAACAGTGTTCTTGTACTTCGATCTGCCTAGTGGTCTCTTGCCGTGCCCTAATTTGCTGAAGTAAGTCTTCCATCCGACATACGTGCTCGGCCCAACGAAGCGCTCTCTCTCTCTCTCTCTCTCTCTCTCTCTCTCTCTCTCTCTCTCTCTCTGACCTCGATATTGGAGACTTTATCGTGCCATTTAATAATGCAGATGGATCGCTGGAACATCTCGAAAAGCTTAATATGGCGATGATAGACTGTCCATGTTTCGCAACAATACAAAAGCGTGTTGAGAACCACAGCCTTGTATACAATGATTTTGGTTCTCAGTCTCACGCCATGTTCATCCCATAGCCTACGTCTAAGGATTTCAAAGGAAATGTTTGCTTTTGCAATCCGTTGTGTGACCTTGTCACTTATAGTCACTGAGTTTAACAAAATACTTCCTAGATAACAGAAATTCTCTACTGAATTTAGAGAAAAGTTGTTGATATAGACAAGGGTGATAGTGGAGCTCTTGTCAGGATCTGATTGATACATGACTTCGGTCTTGTCTTTGATTTCAAGCCAAATCTTTCCCTGGAAGTGATCCAGTTGATAACATCCATATTTGTTCGGGCGTCAAAAGATATATATATATATATATATATATATATATATATATATAGAGAGAGAGAGAGAGAGAGAGATAGATAGATAATATTAGTGGTAAATATACACATACATATGCAAAATATATACATATATATACATAGGAGCATACACATATATTTTTTTGAATAAAAAATTCCGAGAGGATAGAATCAGGTTGAACTCAATGTCCAGGACAGAGTAAGTATATAATAAAAAAAAAAGGCTTAAACCCTAATATTACATGGTCATAATTTATTTCATTGGAATCGTAAATACGATCCAATTCATCAGACAATTTCAAAAAGAAAACAGAAAAGAACAACTCCGGAAATAAAAATAGAATTTAGAGAGAGTGTAAGTATGAGAGTGTGGGACGAATGTTAGAGTTAAAGAGAGGTAAAAATATATATATATATATATATATATATATATATATATATATATATATATATATATATATATATATATCTATATATATATATATATATATATATATATATATATATATATATATATATATATATATATATATATATATCTTCATTCAAGCGTGTTTGGTTGAATAATCCAAACATATGATTGTTTATTGTTATTTTAATCCTCTCAAATTGACGGATCAATTTCTTAGTGTTGTTACAAAATTGAGTAAGAAAGACACCGTAGTTATGGATATTTCTGTTATTTTTCCAAGTACTTTCAATCCCATACAAGATCATTTTCACAAGTCAACTACTAAAACAAAAATCAAGCTCCGTTATAGTTAATTTTCGTTAAGAATATGTAAGGGAGGTAACTTAGTTTAAACTGTTTATTAATCTTTTAAAATACTCAACGTTCAATTTTAAAAAAAAACAAATATTTTTTAAATTTTTTTTTATAATTTGAGCGTCCCAAAACATAACTTTTATAAGCATTTTAAAACATTATTGCTTTATTCATAATTAATTTTATTTAGTGTTGGTTTCATTTTTTTTTATATAGAGCACCTCGAGAATTTGAAGATTTTTTTATTTTCACACGTTCCTTCTCATTTTCTTTCTGAACTAAACTTACGTGTCCTACAACTCCTATATCGATGATCCAACAGTTTCTTCCTTCTAGTCAGCAATAATGAGTTTCATTACTTTATTACGTTGTGGAATCTTCCACAACAAGCCAGTTAACATCTGCTAGGAAATGCACTATTCCTGTTGTAATTTTCACCATAACAATCTTAAAAAATATATAACAAGCATTCATTGGTTAATCACCTTCAATCTAGCTTGCTGATTGGTCAGTTCCGACCAATCAGATATCCTGCACGCAAGGAATGAAATTTCCCACGTTTTCGTTTTGAGCCTGTCACGTGGTACAGCAAAATTATAAAAACAAAACACGTGTAAACTCTCTCTCTCCCCCTCTCTCTCTCTCTCTCTCTCTCTCTCTCTCTCGCGTCTCATTCCTTGCTACCAAGATGCAACCTTCAAGAACTCCTGTCTTAACTAATGAGGGTCAGACGTTAAAGACCATTACCAACATTCACGCAAGTACGAACTCTGAAATCTCTTCTGAACTTTTACCAACTTGTACATTACACAATTCCAAACATGCTAAAGAAACTGTATTCTTCTTAACTACAGTTTAATAATTACTTTTATTTTATGAACTTAGGTACAAATATTACCTAGTCTAAGAGACACAACTCTGTCTATCTTATTGGGCTCATCTATTAGCCCAATCTTACCTTCTTCGATTAATGCACTATTCCAACTTTCATTCGTAA